ATTTATAAATTTATTATATTTACTTTATTCACTTTTTGCTTATAGTGCTTACTATTCAAGGGTTAACTGCTATACCTCCAGGGCAATTACCACAGAGGCCCCCTCAACTGTTATTGATACCGATGCCAGTACCACCATTAATACGACCGGCCGTACAACCACCAATAGCTGATGTGGTACCGGTGGCTATACAACCAGCAGAGTCGGTACAACTACCGATGGTTGAAGTACCTGCAATGGCTGTACAAAATGTTAGAAATGAGGTTAGAAACCAGAGGGGTGTGCGTAGAAGAGGTAAATTTACAACTTTAAAATAACTCAAAATTAAAATCCTTATTTAATACATTATTTTATACTTTAGGAAATCGTGGTAATCGTGTACAAGGCAACGGTAGAGGTTGAACGCGAGAGTGGGATGGGCAGAATTGTTTGCAAATATTGAAGACGGTAATATTATGACCTGCAACTAATAAAAGTTTTTTATAGAATTTCTTCTAGTAGTAAAATAAATATTGCTTTTAGAACTAGAACCACGACTTCCCCCACCTGTGCCGAATCAACATCCGATTCCAGCCAATGAAAGTAAGATAAAACAATTATTGAAATTTTAGACTTTTTAAAATTATAATTAATAATGATTTAACGGGTAGCTAGCGCGAACCGATGTTATTATAGCCTACTTAAACTATTCAGATCGAAGCTATTATCGAGAGAATCGAAGGTAACTCTATACACAAGCTACTTGAGACCCGTGTTGACATATGGATGTGAGACATGGGCTACTACGAAAGGTGATTACGCTAAGTTATGTACAACAGAAAGAAAAGTGCTCAGAAAAATATTTGGCCCAGCTTATAATATAGAAACGAGGACATACGAAAGAAGACATAACAATGACCTACAGAATTTATATAGAAGACCAAATATATTATCGTATAGCAGAAGCAAGAGGATAGAATGGGCTGGACATCATGTTTGGAGGGCAGAGGGGAAAACTATAAAACGAGTCACAGAAGGAAGAATTGTGGGGAAAAGACCTGTAGGAAGACCCCGAATAAGATGGAAGGATGTAATAGTAAAAGATCTAAAAATAAAGATCCCTGATAACGTCAAAATGGAAGATGCGAATGATAAGACCCGATGGAGTGAAATAATGGTGGCAGCGATGGACCTACATGGTCCGCTAAGCTGTTAAGAAGAAGAAGAAGAAGAAGAAGAATGGTATATATTAACATCATAGATAGGTCGTAGTTCGTAGCCCGTAGGTACCTACATAAGATTATTCATAGCAGATAATTTGTGGTAAACCCATAAACATCACTAGGGTACCTACAACTATTTTGGTTTTGTAGGTATATGAAATTGTACTAGCTTTTTCTATAAATGAAAAAAATTTCAAAATATTTTGACTTGTTTTGAGCTGTTTACGGATATACTTACATTCTAACTTTTTAGGTTTTTTTTCTATGAATGTCAATAAAATGTTATTTGTTGGGTAAAAAAGCTTGAAAATTGTATATTAAAGGCTTCTAATATATTGACTTATACAATGACATTAGACAAATATTAAAAATTAAGAGTCACAATTGTTTGTTATAAGCACTTAAAGTTTGAATTTTTAAAAAAGGCATACAAATCACGAAAATGTGAAAATTATTTTGAGTTAGAAATTCATTAAAATTTTTCTTTTTCAATCTATGTTTTTAAAATGTTATACAATATTCCTCATAATAGTTAGTTTGTCTACCTTTACAAAAAAAAAAAAAAAGCAATTTGATAACTATTTGATCCCTAATTACTACTATAGGAAAATAAAATTATTATAACATTTCGTTTACAGCCGGTAGATTTATCCTTAAAAGTCAGTAATATTCACTCTAAACCCCCTTAAAAATAAATTCTAGGATCGCCCCTGGGAGGGATGAATGTATTGATTTTACATTGATTTTTGTTTTATTATTATTTTTATTTGTGTCTATCAAAACCTTTTGGAACAACAAAAATGCTTTGATATTCTTCAACCAAATCTAGAATTTAGTTGGTACTTTGGTGGGTACAAAAAACTGATATTTTTACGCAAATCCAGTTTTTGAAAAAAATCGATTATGTTTTTTAGTTTACCTAACTCAAAAAAAAATAACCGTGGATACATGAAATGTTCACTGTATGTTTATATTAGCAGCATAACATTTCTATGCACCATACAATTTTCGAAATATATCGAACCTTTTTGAGATATTTATAGGCATAACACAATTTCAAGTTTTATTAGTCTTTTTTAATTATTGTCAATAAAAAAATGTTTGCTTGATCAAACTTCAAAATGTAACACAACGGTCCTCATTAAAAGTTGTTCAAAATATTTTCACTAATCACTTGTTTTGAAAGGTATTTATAGAATTTTGAGATGTTTAGTTTTTTTTTTTATTCTATAAAATGTCAATAAAATGTTATTCGTTGGGTAAATAAGTTTAAAAATGTATTACAAGGTTCCTCATAAGTATAGTTATAACTTATAATTAGCAGTTGAGAAATATATTAAAAATCCATATGTATTTAAAATTCAAATTTTGACATAATTTATCAAATTCTCAAATATTATAATGTACTTAAATACTATAAAATGTCCAATTTGTATGGATATAAGGGTTAAAAATTTAAAACAAGGATTCTTTTATGTTAGTTCATATTGAAACTAACACAGTTTTTTTTTTTTTGTATATCTATACATTTTAAGTTAAAATTTGAATGAAATTATACCAAATTAAAACCAAGAATTAAAGTTATAGTTATTTTTTTGTAATTTAAAAATATTATTCGTGGGTAGGTACTTGAAACTTTTAGACTATATTATTATATTTTATACACACGGCATTTTTAAATGTAATTTTTAGCAATATACCTAATGAATTAAATTGGCCGTTTTGATTCATATTTTCCGTGCCGAAAAATAATGCTAACCCGCCCTGTGTCGTAACTGTTATATAATTAAAACTTTTTAGCATAGGTAATATTGCACGTCACCAGCTTTTTTAGTTACGTAATATGAATTGTTTTATCTCATGTAAAAAATTAAAAAAATAGGATATGTGCTGTATTATGGGAGATTTTTACCCACCATCAGTTTATATTTCGGCGAGCGTCCTTGACTGTACACATCCAATATTATTAAAATAATTTTAAATTAAATTCCCTGTAATCAAATGAATGTTCATTAAGAGGACGCCACACACGCATGCGTTGTCTCCGTCTTACAAATGTAAAACATAGTAAAAACTGTTTTGCGCGGGACAACTTTACTCCCTCTGTATTTATAGCAGAATTACTAAAATTCCACAACTCATAGGGATGAATTTTATCTGTGTCGTGATGTTTTTATTATTTGAATAACATAAATACAATTAAAGTTATCACTTTGAGAACATTAGGATTTTTTTGTTTTATTCATTTAATTATTAAAAATAGTTGGTAAATGCTATAAAAGAAATACAAACGCTACGACACAGATAAAGTTCTTCCTTATGCATTGTAGAATTTTGATAATTCTGCTATAAATACAGAGGGAGTAAAGTTGTCCCACGCAAAACAGTTTTTACTATGTTGTACATTTGTAAGACGGAGACAACGCATGCAGGTGTGGTGTCCTCTTAAGTATGAAATATCTTAATTATTAACAGTTAACATCATTACATCAATAGTTATTATATCTTTTAAAAAGTACAATCTGTATAATTTTTCAGTAAAGTAGGTACATTAAACAATGTTCTATTATCGAATTATCTATATATATATATATAATACAATAATAATTATAGTGAAGTGTAATTGTATTATAGAATATAGATATAATATTATGGCATTGGTTTTAGTTACTATATACATAAAATAACTCTAAAGTGGCTATTCACTATTTCCTACAACATATTAGGTGTATATCTCATGGCTTCTACGAGAAATTCGGGCTTTGGCCCCCATAATATCACCGTCAAAACAATCTTGTATCTGAAGAGTATTTCAAATACTTTACTATACTCTTTACTATACCTTACTCTACTCAAATACTTTACTATTTATAGTATTTTAAATTTATTTATTAAATTTATTCATTAAAAAAAAAAAAATGGTAGGTACATCAGGAATTAAGATACATTTTATAATAGGTATTCAATATACCTATAAAACAATATCTTGAAAAGTTAAAAATTATTTTGTTCTTAAAAACTAATAAAATGTTTAATTTAAATTCCTAAAGCTTGAAGTGGTGTACAATATGTTCTTGCTGCAATTTAAAAATATAGAAAAGACATTCACAGTTTTATTTTATAACTATTTGAAATTCAAATTCACCGAATTATTTTTTCATATAAGTATCTAATCAACTGTCTACAACTTTTACTAAAAAATAATATTCTAGAACATTTTAATGAACATTTTATTTTATTCATGAATTAAAATATGACATATTACTTTTTGTAGGGCTGCTATTATTAACAAGGTAGGTACCTATAGGTTAATATGAATTATATCAAATGTTTAAATATAATTTATACAATAATTTACTTATGTTTGCATATTATCACTTAATTTTCTTAGTTAAAGAATTTGTGTAAAATATTTAGGTGTTATAAGTAAAAATAAAAATATAAACTATTTATTTATTTAATATTTTAATAATTAAGATATTTGAGATGTCAGAGAAGACGCTATAGCTGTCCGGTCTCTGCTCAAATGCCAACATACGACAATTACAATTACAATTTCTTCTGCATATACACACGACCATACACCAACACCACGTTATACGATCGGGCTCAGACAGTTTTTAAATAGGGTACGAGAAAGAGGAGCGACAGAAAACATTCCACCACATATAATAGTGGATCAAGAAGCTCACCTATAAGCTATTTAAAATAAGATATAATTTGATATATGAATAAAATTATTTTTGATCTATCTATTTAACACAAATAAACCATTTTAATAGCAATCCTGAAATAGCAATGGAAATTCGACGCCCAGCTGCAGTTAGGTCGATTCACAGAGCAAGAAGTAGAGTGAATCCTTCTATACCACAATTGTTGAGTGATTGGTCCGATATCATGAATTCAGAAGAGTTTGGGGCTAGACTCTTATATGTCAATGGGTCAACTGATGAGTCATTTTTTCAAGGTTCCCTAGAAATCCTTAGGGATGATGGAAGCATTCGCTTTGTTGGGTTAGTGTTCACAAACGTAGAATTCTTGAACCAAATGAATGCACATATACAAACGGTAAGGACACTGTGCATGGATGGGAAATTCCAAATTCGTCCAAGACAACCGCCAGATATTGAACAATTGTTCACAATACAAATTATTTTGAATAATGTGGTTAGTATTGAATTTTTTTTTGCTTAGTATAGGCCATGCATATTGTAATAACATACTAATCAACTATACAATGTATGTAATTTATCCACTCCATAGGCAATTCCAATAGTTCATGTCCTAATGGTAGATCGACTAATAGAGTCATATTGTAGAGTCCTACAATATTTAAGACATGACTTAAATTTAAATCTTGAATTTGAAAATCTTCAAATAATAACGGATTTTGAACAAGGGCTAAGAAATGCAATTAACAGAGTACTGCCCGAAGTCAACAACTCAGGGTGTTGGTTCCATTTTATCCAAGTTAGTGTTAAAAATGGATATAATTGAATATTGTATAAGAATAAAATTATACAACATTTTTTCCAGAGTATCGTCCGTTTCATTAGGAGCAATTAGCTAGTACAATTAAGTACTTCAAATGAAAATGCTCGAAGGATCTTAAGAATGGTAATATTAAGGGCTAATAATTATATATCCTATAATACTATTAAATATATATCCAGTTATGCACTAAAAATTCACAAGATATGGCCTTCAAATATCAAGAGACTCCAGAGCATCTTAGAACCAAAACGAAGAATTTACAGAGCATCAAGATTTTCAAGTACGTGTATTCATGTTATATACAACACGACGTAGGAACGTCGCAAACAAATTACAAAAACCCGCAAACGTCAGCACCAGCAACGGCAACGCCGAACGCCGCCGCCGCCGTCGCTGAACCCGTCACCACCACCGAGAGCCGCCCAACTACGAACGTAACCGGAGACCGTCTTTTTCTATTCTCCCAAATACTCTATCAGGAGGCATATAACTATGCCCCCCACAGGAAATATGTGATTAATTTTTTTAAAAATTGTTTCTTTGCAATTAACGTAGTTTAGAAGAGTTTTCATAATAAACTGATTTTTATTTTGACCTGCACACGAGTCAGAATACAAATTAAGAATTGTTGGTGGATTTATTCGATTTTTGTAACGAGTTTCTAAAATATTTAGGAAATGTGTCAATGCTGATCCAATTTCATTAGGCCCCCTGACACTCTCTGTTTCAAGCCATGTATACAAAAAACAATTGTCTTTACTTTTATTATTTTCTGAGTTGATAACAAATGTTAAGTTATACAGCCAAACTTGTCTACTACATAATGTTTCTGTAACGCTAAGCTTCGGTAACGGCTGGTTTTGCATCATATCAAAGATGACCTGTATTGTATCATCAGACTGAATTGACATCATTTTAGAAAAAAATTTTAATTTTGCTTTATGCTCTTTTAACTGAATCTGTAAAACTTCTTTAATATCATCATCTTTATCGTTTTTTATTAGACATAATTTTTGTGTACAAAAAGAGCATACATCCTGGCGAGGATGTCCAAAACTAAGGTTGAAGTTTTTTGTGAATACTTTATAATATTTACTAAAAGATGCCAAAGGCAGTTGTAGAGTTGTTCTTTTAGTTTTCCAATGACTCCACATTTTTTTTACTGATAGTTCAGGTTGTAAATAACTTCGACCAGTGTCACTTCTGGTATAATGACTCTTTCGACTTTTGAATTTCAGTATATGATTTTTAATAGATGTGGTAACTTCTTCAGACTTGATTTGTTTTGATAATGGAAAACCTCCCCTTTTTTTTTTTTTTTTTTTGAACCGACAGCAGAGGAGGATCTGTGTGAACACTACAACCTTGATTCTTTATAACTTGCACTTGTGTTATTAAATTTTGAGGCAAGAATCTTCAATCGTCTACGTGTTATTGATGTTATTCCGACAAAAGCATTTAAACATACTTGTATGAGATCGCCTTTTTCAGTAGGTACAAAATAAGAAACCACAGTACTTTCTTGACGAATACCTTTGCCTCTATTTCTTCTTTTAGGCTATTCGATGTTCATCATAATCAACAAAAATTTATCTTGATCAATCTTTTTATTTAAAAGACATAAATTATTTTTGAAACACTGTATATCACTGGGATTTAAAGAGGCAACATTACACTTGCTTGAACTTATATCTTTATGAGGACAACATACTATCCATGTTTTAGGAATTTGATGTCTTAAGCCTTGGGCACATTTCCTTTCGTTTACTTTTATTTCTTTTCCTTCCACTGGTAATAACCACAACAGGCTCTAAATACTCATTATCAGTACTTAGGCAAGAATTTTTTGCAGGAGTATTGACTTGAAATTCAGTTACTTGTGAGTTATCTGGGGGAACTTCTATTAAAATGACTGGCTATGTTGTGTTTTCTGATGCTATATATTGTGTATTAGGTTGTTCATGTAATATGTCACATTCATAATTTTTCTACAAAAAAAAAAAAAAAATTATTGTAGCATATTATAATAAATATAGGTATTTTAAATTGGCCAAGTATTTTATTATTATAAATCAACTGTTAATTAGATAATATTTGCATATCTTATAAATATTAATGGGTGCAAAGTTACAATAAAAAATTAATACATATCAGTGCTAGGAATATTATTTATAAATTTGTTATCATTTTATTATTGTTTTTATTTAATTATTTTTAATCAGATTCAAGCCATCGACACATTTTCTATTTTTGTCAAAAGGTATATTTTATTACTAATAAATTTTATATTTATACAATATGCATACTTAGTTAATATTGAGTAATATGTATTTATTATTTATTTTATTTTATTTATTTTTATACAATTAAACATTTATAGTAAACTTTTTAGTTGTTATAACCCAACAAAAAGTAATAACTAAAGATAGGTAAATAGATTTTCATTTAACTTTTTAAATGCATTGTTTTGTTAAATATTTTATTAATGAATTAATTAATATTTTAATTAGATTAGGTAAGTATCAAATAGTTAAATTTTAGAAACCAAAAATATTACAAATAATAGGTACTATACTACTATACAATATTTATATTTTCCTAGTAATTTTGTTGAATTTGGGAAATCCATAATTTTTACTTTTAGAGTTTATTAAGTATGTCTTTACTTATATTATAAATGGTTCACAATAAATATTATACTTCTTATACTAATAGAATAATGCAATATTGAATAAAAAATTATATTACTTCTTTAGTGATCTTGTTACTGCCAATCGATTATTTTATTGTTCTAGATGCTGTTACGAACGGCACTTCAGGGATCCAAAAGCTGTTGCACTTTTACAATAAAATATAGTCAATTTTAAATATGAATCAATTGTACTTTATTAAAACCAATAATAATTAATATAGTCGTGGTGAATTGCAGCGTCGTGAGTTGACTCGTTATAGTAGTTGATAATCTCCGTGTAAGGCTGCGTGCAATGGCTGGTGCATAAGCTGCTCGCTCGGTCTTGGCGGCTCTGGTACATCTAATGTGTATTGGGGCCATGGCCTCTATTTCTACGAATATACGAAGGCGACGCCCTTAGAATTGAGCGGCGCGTGGCATGTAGGCGCCCTTGGAAGTTGTTGTGGTTTGAAGCGTCTATTCTAGCTATGACCACTTTTGGGTGCGGTCGACGAGGCCGCTTTCCACATAAGTGGTTCTTGTTATTATGAGCGTTGTACATGAATTGCGTAATCCCATTACACCTCCCCACCAAAAAAAAGATTGTTAACCTTTAAGGGTTAAGAATCTTTAACAATCATAGTTAAGTTAATTAATCACAATAGTTGATTTACAATTTGACATACATTTGATTACAATTCGTTATAATAGTTTACAATTTTGATATAATAGTGTAGACATTATAATTTTTTAGTGTCATACATAATTACTGTTACATATTTATTATATATATGAAAAGTTTTATATCGTGATAAGTAACAATAAATTTAATACATAAATTATTAAATAACTAGTGTTAGTAAGAAGGAGCAATAGTCCTTCCAAAATAATAAAATAGTATTGTACCTGAAATTACAATATTAAAAGTGTAAGTATATAAAGTAAGTACCTATATAATGTAAGTATTTCCCCTTGATTACAATAATAATTATTATCTTCCACCAATTAATTATTATACTAAATCTATATGAATAATTATTAAAATTGTCATACACATATGCAACCATAAATTTTTGTTACTTAGGATAGTATATTTAGTGTGACCAGACGTCCCCCATTAGGGGGGATTGTCCCGTTTTTCAGAGGTGCGTCCCGCATATCTAAATATCCCACTTTTGTCCCGCATTTATGAAAATTGATGTATAGACTGTATAGTATAAAAAAAATACAGACAGTGTACATAATAAAATATTTTATCATGATTCTACACTAACACTCTACAGGACGTTGTATCTTGTATCAGACTTGCAATCATGAATTGATAATAATATTATATTCTTGTGTCACTGATTAGAATTATTATTTACTATAAATTTGGCGGCACTGCTTTGCGGCACAGAATAATATTATATTAAATGTCATTCTATAATCAATGATATGAGCAGGGTGTTATCATGGATAATTCCCATTCAGGAATTCCGATGACCGGCATTCGTATTTCGTATAATAATTTATTAATAAATAATAATCCTTAACGTGAAATACTAAAAGTAAAGTGACCGTGTAAATTCATAAATCATATTTAACCAAAATGGGCAAACCTAAACGTTTGTGTCGATTCACGCCTGAACTTCGAAATAAATACAGTTTCCTAAAAGAAATCAATGGATCTGATTCCGAACTACTATGTGGAAAATGTAAACGGACTTTCAATATTTCACACGGAGGTGGATATGATATTGAACGACATATTCAATCAATTAAACATAAATCAGCAGATTTAGCCGTTTCATCAAGTAAGCCATTAACGACATATTATAAAAGTAGCGCACCAAGTTCAAGAGATTTGGAAATAGCAGCTGCAGAAGGTGCTTGGGCATACCATACAGTTTCTGAAAATCAGAGCTTTCGTTCGCATGACTGCTTTTCTAAACTCACACAGGCTTGTTTTGAACCTAAATTTCATTGTGCCAGAACAAAGTGTGAAAAAATAGTAACCAATGTTTTTGCTCCATATGCAATTGATATTCTAACTAATCAGCTTAAAAACGCAAATTGCATAAGTATTTTAACTGATGCTTCAAACCATGGAAATATTAAGTTGTTTCCTTTGCTTGTTAGATTGTTTGACCCCCTATATGGAATTCAGATAAAAATATTAAATGTCGAGTCTCAGCCTGGTGAAACTTCTGATATTATTATAAATTATATTGTAAAAACAATAGATGATAATAATATTAGAAATAAAGTAGCTGCATTTTGTGGGGACAACACCAACTGTAATTTTGGTGGTGTTTCAAGACGTGGCACTAATAATGTGTTCCATAAATTA